ATTACTTTTGTATGCAATATGAAAATTGAATAACTTAGTTATGAAATTTGCTGTTGCTTCAAACGTCAAAACTAAACTAAACGGTGTGGCATCGCTTATTGTTGAAGGCGATTTGTGGTCGTGATGTCAACGCAGTGGCCAAACATAATATGTATTCAAATCTACTCACCACAATGTGCTAAGTAATCTCTCCCTCTCTTTGGCTCGCTATCTCTGTTGTTCGTGTGCTGAGCCATGTTGTCGATGCAACGTTAATGCGATAGTGTGTATCCAATGATGATTCCTTCGTTGCTCTGATCTGCTACTACTACTACTACCAAATCTCAATTTTTGTGAGCAAAGTGTTTGCTAACGCAGCTTCGTTCAATTCATTTCCAAATTGTTTTTAATTTATGTGTGTATATGTGTATGATCAAACCCTTACTACTTTCTTACATACTAAATAGATTTTGATATTGTGATTTTTTGAAATGGATGTAATGGAAAAATAATCGAAAGAATGGATAGCATTCTTCAATAATGGAATAGTAATTTTTAAAGTAAGTATACCCCTCAGTCTGCTCTTCTTCGATGAATTCATTTTGGATATTAACCTTTGCTGATGTTGTTACGGTCGTCGTCGTTTTAGTTGTAGTATTTGTCGATGCAATTGTTCCAGTTGATCCAGTTGACTCAGTTATGAATTTTGACATATCACGATCCATTGAAATGATTTCAATTTTTGAATCGGCTGCCTCAGTTTGTGGCTCAAATTGATTTTGATTCGAAAGATTTACCACATTTTCAGTTCTAATCAATTGCCTTCGAAGAATGCCTGAAATAGAAGAATGGCCAATTTAAAAAAATGAAGAAATGCACGTTGTCTCTTAACTTACTCTCCGCAGATGCATCATCCATAATTGAAAAGTCTTTATCATTCACATTGATGTCATACATAAGAGATAATTCTTCGTGTCGTTCAATCACAGTTTGATTACTATTGCTAATGATGTGATTTTGTATTGTCTTTTTACCATTTTGATTATTCGAAGTAATTACAAAGCTATTGGCATTCATATTATTAACACTTTCACTTTTTTCAATGCCATATAACGAGTTGTTTGGTGAACTATGTGCATTATCTGTTGCCGTTGTCCAATTGCATGAATTTTCTACTAAGCTATGTTGATGATTTTCATTTAAGTCGATGAAATTTTTCACATCACTTGTTCCATTTTCAATGTACGAATCAACCACACGCTGCACTTTATCCAAAACACCATTTTCAAGCATATCTTCCGTGTCGCTAAATTCGTTATTTTGTTCAGATTTGACATTTATTCCGTTATCATTATAACCATTTATTGACTCATCGTCGGTAATGTCCTCGTTCCCAATGCCAGACATGCAACTAAAATCCTGTTCCTGTTCATTGTTTTGTAATCGAATAAAGTTATCGGCCGTCAATATCACGGCCGGTGCATTTATCGCACGTTGATTGCTCATTTGGAATATGCTTTGATCATTTTGTTCCAAAACTAAATCAGTATTAGCGCTATCGATTTTCGTGCAATTTTGTGGAACTGTCTCTGGTTCGTAGTGCAATTTTAAATGGTTAAAAAAACCTAATTGCGACTGTGTTTGTGCTCCACAAAGTTCGCAAGTAAATTTTTGAATATCACAAGCCGTGTACCGTGTGGGTTGTGTTTCAGTAATTGTCATTTGGTGGAGTTGAACTGTGTGCATCGAATTCGCTGCTTCTGATGTATTGGCAAAGTGATCCGATTGAATGTAGTCCGTTTGATTCGAGGATTGATTGACTCGTGTTGTCAATTGAATTGGTTGTTGATTCATTGTTAAATTCAATGTTGATTGCTCATGGTGGGATTGTGGTTGTAAGTGAGCTAAATCATTGTGTTGGCTTATGATCTTTAATTTCTTTGTTATTCGCTTTTTGTGCGGTAGACTTTTCTTTGTTTGTGATTGCTCTTTACTTGATTGCCGAATTAGTTTTACGTTTGACTGAACAAAATTCACATCATCCTCATCAGTTACAAAGCACATTGTATTGTTTTTCGAGAGATTTAATGAGGCACTTGACTGAATTGAGGTCTTATATTGCATCGCTTGTTGCTGTTCGATTGTTGGTGTTTTTCGCATTGATTGTAATTTGGATATCGGAGTTAGTGGTGGCAATGGTGGAAGGGCCTGAAATGAAACATAACGATAGTTGTCCTTAACTGACCGAAATAAATCTCGTAATATGTCAGACGCGATTTTTCATATATCGAGGTGGTCCCGAAAAGCAAATTTGATACAAAATAAATCTTGAAATTCAAAATCAAGGGGGGCTTGGCAGCCACCAAAGGGTTAGTATTTTTAGATCAGTTGGGATTTGGATAATTGTCGTCTGACATATTTCGAGGAAAATTCAAAGAATATTCTTAACGGCTTACATTTCCGGCCTGGATCTTTGCATCTAGTTCATGTTGATCATTTAACTGAGTTTGATCAATTTGGTTGTATGTATTGGGAAAGTCCAAACCATTCATTGAAATTGCCGATGCTTCCTACAAATTGTGATTTTCAATTAAATGGAGTTTTTTTTTATATAACAAATTTAATACACATACTTTGTTTGAAACAATGACAGGTGCTTCATTTGTTAGAATATATTGACGGCCTTGTTCTCCAACTATAAGTTTCCTTTCTTTGGCAGTATTTAAATTCGATTCAAAATGATGTATACTTTCCATTGGCATTTGAATATTTTCATTATTTGTTATAAAGTGTCGATCGGTTGTCATTTCCAATGGTGACGCATTCTGCTCAATTGTCTCGCTATTGTAAATACTATGTGATGCTAAGGTCGGCTGTTGATCGTGTGATTGTGATTGTATGATATCTACAACGAGACCATTTTGAATGTAGTCTGGTGATAGTAAAGCCTATTTAAAATGATATTGTTTCAAGTTAGATTTTTTGTTCATTGATTTGTCAAAAAAAATAATCCAATTACATGATCAATGTATTCATTTTCGGTATTTCTTGGAATGGATATGATGTGTGTATACATTGTATTTCCCCTTAATACAGTTGGATTTAATTTATTTGCGTCTCCCTGTGTCATTTTTGATGTTTCAATTATTATTATGACTTATTCAATATTAAAGTTAGAAATAAAAACCTGGAATTGATTCATATCCATGCTTTCAAGTCCATTCCGATGCATACTCAAGCTTGGATCCATGGTAATCTATTTCGAAAAAGATACTTATGTAATAAAACCATTGGCTAAACATTTTCCATTGAATCAATTTTTTCTTTAAAATTCATTGGCACATAAACATATAACATTTGTTCACTTATAGCATAAATAACAATAGCAAACCAAAACAGTAAACACGGCGGTAAACCAATTCAATAATTGGCAACGTCGCAAATATTGTATGGAGAAATTACATGTGTCACTTACTCTATATCAAATGCCAAACACAAATACACACCAAATCTTTTTTAATTTTTTAAAATATTTTGGTTTTGATCAATTTTACACATTTTCCAAAATAAAATGTAAGCATTTCGCTTTATTAATTACTTTTTCACTGATAAAATGTACTATTTTGGTTGAGAAAAAAAAAATGCTTGTGCTGTGAGAGAGACAACACCAAAACAAAGAGCATCGAAGGAAACTTGACAGCGTTGTAATAAATGGCGGTGCATAAAAAACTGATGCTATTTTATTAATTAGTTCGGCTCTTCAGCACCAGGGTGCGTCATTTTCATAATGTCAAAAGCCGGCTCGAAGGGAACATTTTCATTGAATAAACTATTTGAATGAAAATATTACGTATTTACACTTACGTTTGTTTATTTTATAAATAATTGTACTCTAGTAACACATTGATTTTTTCTATGATTTTTGCTGTGTGAAAGCTCTTAGCACAAAATACGACTATTTACAAAAATTCAGTAAACCCACAAAATTCGAATCTTTTCATTGAATTCAAATTACCCAGACATTTGAGGTTGATTTAATTTACATTTTGTATAAAATGAAAGCAATTTCAATGAATGCTTCGAAACAATCATAGAAAGTAGAAGTGAATTTCACAGGTTCACTTACAAAAAGGTCGGCTAATTAATATTATTTACATAAAAACGGACGATTTAACTCAATTTTATTTGTAAACCAAAACAACTTTTTAGTATGTTTTTTTGCAGTTGGTTTCCTTTTCATTCTTTCGGTTCTAAACCATATGTCTGATCGCCTGCCTATAGTAAAAAAATACAAATTCATTTTCTTCTATAGATTTATAAAAAATATATATATTTCATGGAATGTCATTGATTCATAGAATAACTGTTATAGTTCTGTGTGGAAATTTGTTCACGTTGCTTACAAACTAATTTAACATCTGCCATTGTTTTTGGAGCCAAAAAGCAAAAGAGAAAATAAGAAAAAAGGATTTTTTTTATAATAGCCTAAAATAGGCGTATACTAGACGAAGTATAGTCTAATTTCACACTATGTAGAATGGCTTAAGATAATATCTAAATACTTTTACATCATTAATAATTGTGAAGAAAATGTTTGGAAAGACATGTTTCTTTTTCGTAAAACGTGTGTACAAAATGCGTGATAGTAACAAGTGTAAATTTTTTATCGGAATGTAGATTTGTTATTTTGACTTTAAATTCTTTTGGCATTCAAACAGTTGAAGGCGGCTTTGTTGATTGGAATGAGTGGTGGCGGTGATTTGGAATGTTTTCGCATCGTATTGTCGGAAGATCCATTGTTTTTGGTTTTTCCAATATTTGGCCGATGAATTGTGGTAATGTGGTTCATGAGATTTTCGGTGCCACGACAAATTGTCTTGCACAGTGGACATTTGTGTAAACTGTGTGGAAATTGTGTAAGTTTCAATGGTTTTGCCATTGGCAATTGCTTCGGTTCGGTAAAACTCATCGTTTTTAAAACGGTGTTTGAATTAAATCCATTCTGTTTGCGATGTGTTATCAAATGTTTTTTCAACGTGCTCATTTCTCTGAATGGCCTCTTACATTCGGAACACGAAAATGGTTTCTCACCAGTATGTATCTAGAGAAAAAAATGATTTTAAAAAGAATAATAAATATGGAAAATGATAAAAATTTTCATTTTAAAATGTACCATAACGTGTCTCTTTAGATTTGAGCTGCTGCCAAAGGCTCTATCACAATATTTGCACACGAATGCTTTTTTATTATTGGCATCAATGCGTGGCACAAGGTTATCTGATACTGAATTGTGATTGTACCGTTTTGTTGTTTCCTGTTGTTTTTCACACGAAACACATTTTGTCGAATTACGGCTCGATGGTTGATTACGATTGCACACCGAACATTTTACATTTGCCGAAATATTGTTGTGGACTTTTTTATGTTTTCTTAAATCACTTTGTTCTCGAAAGCGTCGTTTGCAAATGTCACATTCGAAAGGTTTTTCACCTGTAAAAAAAACCAATTTATATTACACGAAGACGACAAACCAAAAAAAAAAAAAAAAACGACAGCAACCTTGACGATTGCGGTTTTGCCTCTCTTGTTATTTTTAACCCATACGTACCAGAATGAATCATCATATGGCGTTTTAGATTATAGCTACTGGACAATCGTGCTTTGCATATATCACATGAATAAACTTTTTGTTCGGCAGAAGAAGAATTTCCAGAAGGTTCGTGTGTAAGGCCTCCGTTGCTATTTTCATTAAAATCACCATCACTGTCATCGTCATCGATTAATATCACATCATCACTGTCACCCGTTGAATTGCCATTCATCGGTAACGATTTTAATTGGGAATTGTCAAACCAAATTGTTTGTGGTTCACTATGATTCGACATCACTTGATAGGCTGAAGATAAAATAACAACAGAAAAAAACAGTATTTATTTTTTCGTACGATGAAAGTGAAGAGAATCGAAACGAATAAAAATGCAACGAAAAGTAAATGTATTACCATATTCATCGAATGGTTCTTCATCATCGTCATTTTCATCGTTTAGATGAAATGAATGGCTATGTTGCTCGATATCATCACTGTATTCACTAAAATCGTCTTCGCTATCGTTAAACGGTAGCTCCGGTATTACTTCAATCAATTCAGCCTGCAAATCTGACTCATTCATACTGGAACGATTTTTTATCACTGACATGTCGGCCGATTTCAACGAAGCGGAAACAGCACTGTGTGCAGTTTTATTTGTTATTGAGGTCATTTTTTTTGTTCGATTCGAGAGAGTATACGATTGATGTTTTTTTTATTCTCAATTTTCAACTGTTATTGTTGTTGTTGTTGTTGTTGTTGTTGTTGTTGTTGTTGTTGTTGTTGTTGTTGTTGTTGTTGTTGTTGTTGTAATTACAATATACAGCCCATGCAACTTGCACATGCAGAAAAATTGAATACGTGACACTCAATGGTGAACAGTAATACACGACTAAAAATTCACATTCAATCTTCACTTGTGCTCGCTCGTTCACCGTGGACTTTTACGCTCGATTCGAATGCAACCACTACTGAGGCCGAATTACGAAATGTATCAAACCATTGCGTATTTTGCACGGTTCCCACTTCACACTCGTCGCCAATGTTGTGGCTGTCGCTGTCGTTGTCGTCGTTGTCGATTCTCTGAGTGACTCAATAAAAAATGAGTGGTAGGCTCGAGTGGTAATTTAAATGTCAAAATAAAAGGAAACGGCAAGGTCGCTTGCTCGACAACAAACACACTCATATAAACACCAACAACGCACTTTTGTTTTTTTTTTTCTCTTCTTCTTCTTTCGGTGCTCTGACGATTGCTCAATAATTCGCACACTCACGACTCACCGCTCGTCGTTCTTTTTGTTGCTGTTTTTTGTGATTGTTTCTCTTTTGTTCGGTTTTTGGATGGACTTTCAATCGTGGAACATCACAAATGGAATGTCAAATGAACAACTTTTTTTTTTGTACGGGAACACTGTCCGCTAATGATGCAGTCGCGATGTCAATATGTACGTGTTATTTCTGTAAACGAACGATGTAGTCAAGTGGAAAGACTAACCACACTCACATACACGAGAAAGTAGTGTATTGCAGTAGATAAATCAAATATCGTAAACACTTGACCAATATTCTCTTTTATGTTTCTTTTTTTTCGCTACGATGACAGATTTTTTTTTGAAATTGTGTAGGTTGAAGATTAAGAACTATTCAATGGTCACCACATTCCAAATTCAGCTAAACGAAAGCAACAACGAACAAAATAACAGAGATATGGCATCTGGAATTGTTGATGTATATAAAATACATATGTAACATTTATGTAGACAGAAAGAGATGTTGAAGTTGAAATATATTTAAACAATGAATGACTGAGTTCACCTCAGCCCACCGGCATGAATTCAACAATTTTGACATTTAATGTTACCAACTTGACAGATTCAAACATTTTATGATTACATTTTCCGAATGTCAAATCATAAAAGAGACTAGCAAATTCATTTATTGTTTCAAAGTTAAAGTGGAAATTTCTTCATTTTTACACATTCAATTGGCTTCAAAAACTGTGTTAACCTACGAATATCCATGAATTAAAAATGTATTGTTGCACGTGTTAATATACTTGCAGTAGATCGTTCAATTACTTCAAAATACCTTCGGAAAATCTCTTCCTTTGTTTACTTTGTTACGGAGTCTTTCAATGCAAAAAAAAATATGCATTCGAATTATTTTTTATACACAAATGATGCTCCAATTAATGCCAATGTGAGCATTGTCAATGCAAAACATGAGATAGCTTCATCAGTTACACATCATATTGCCACAATACCGGCCAATGCAAATGTAATTCGACCACATCACTCGGCCACCAACTCTTCGTCACATTCAATGCAACAACCAAATATTCATATGTGTCAGATTTGTTGTCAAATATTTCAAAAATCCAGCAGTCTAAAGAAGCACATGAGAATTCATCAAGTGAGTTCTCGCGACAGTGATAATAGTCCATACAAGTGTAAGTAATTTACGAGATCGATAGATTTGTCCATAAATTTCACATATCGACTCTTCCGATCGTTCAAAAGCAAGTTTTTTTTGATTACAAAACAAGTTAAATATTGTTGTTTATATTGTTCGCCATTTGATTTCTGTAGGTAATGCATGCAAAATCGATTATCTCAATGCTGTTACGTTTGAGGAGCACATAAAATCGGAACATGGTCAACCACAAGCCCTGAAATGTGTAGATTGTGGATGTTTTCGAGCAGTTGAACTGACTGCATTGCAACCATTTCGGTGTGCGGGATGTGCACAACGAAAATCGGAGACTTATGATTCAAGTATTACCTCAAGCCAAAATGCAACCCAATCACAACCAGTTCATGTGAACCAAATAAAATCGACCAAAGTTGATATGGACGCACTCGTTCAAAATATGCGTTCGCCGAGCGAATCAAATGGACGACGACGTAAACTTCATCAATGCTCCGAATGCGATAAATGCTATAAACACCAAAGCACACTGGCAATGCACAAAAAAATTCACACCGGAGAATTTAAATACAAATGTCAATATTGCCAGAAAGAATTTTATTTGGCCGAATATTATAACAGACATATGAGAGTTCATACAAAGGTAAATTAATTTTTATTGTCTTCAATAAATGCATCAGCTCATTTATCTTTGAATTTAATTTCAGGAAAAGCCCTATCAATGTGAGGTTTGTGACAAAAGTTTTTCGCAGTCAAACACCTTAATTCAGCACAAAAGAATTCACACCGGTATGGACAGTTATTTATTTATTTTTTCATTCAGAATTTCAAATATTAATTAAGTGTTCTTTGTGCATTTTAGGCGAGAAACCATATGTATGTACAATATGTAGTAAAGCGTTCAGCGTAAGAGATTATCTACTAAAACACATAAGGTGAAATATAAGAAACCAATTATATCGTTTTCATAAAACCAATCACCTTTCAAATACCATTTCAAATTCGGTTTCTTTTTTTGGTTATCATTCACACAGAGTCCATACCGGTGAAAAGCCTTTTGAATGCGAAATATGTGGAAAAAAATACTCACAACGCAGCGGATTAAAAAGCCATCAAAAGTCTCATTATCCTGATCAACATCTGCTCAATGGATCTCAGTCACAATCTCAACATTTGAACCTAATTTGAAAATACAAAATTCGCCACACAAACAACAAATATGATATGACAATGTAAAACGATTACAAATCGCTATCAAGAAATTGTATACTTTATGTAGAATTTTACTTAAATACTCACTTCGTATATAAGATATGATTTAAATAAAATTTCACACCTCATTTCATCAATCGTATCATTGTTTCTAATACAGATTCGGAAAGCAAATAAATAAAAAATCTACTATATAGCTTCATTTATACTCCCCTAACTATCACAGGCATTTGGACAGCCCTGAGTTGGATTGCTAAAATCAGCTGTCACTTTCAATGTTGACGTTTCTTTATTTGTTATTGTTGTGTATTGTGCAGTGTTTTGACGCGTATACTGCCTCGCAATTTTGGTGTTTCCAAATAAAAGTGAAATTGAAATATTATCACGTTGCAAACTATTGCAGTACTTGCATATCAAATATCTCAGTTCGAAGTGACTCAAGTGAAAATCAATTTAATCACACTTACATTCAATTGATTCGAACAAGAAATGTCTGAAGAAGTAAATACGGAAACAGATTCATTCAATCAAGATTTTACGACGGCAACACGATGGGAAGTTTTTTGTGCTCGTCTCGAAGAGATTATTCACGATTGGAAGCTTCCATATAAGAAGCAATGCATTGGAAAACTGCCTTTTAATGCATTATCCGTAAATGACTGGGAAACAAAGGAAGAATTGGTTACATATGATGGAATGGAATTGAAGGTCACATTGTACACCGTCAAGTTGGCATCTGATACAGACCGACAAGACGATGTCTCACCTGATTCTGCAAGACGAATGTCAGTTGATTTGGAAAGGGCTGAGAAATTGTCGCAATTGAATATTAAATCGGATTGTCAAACATTTGTTGATTTAATGTCGTTGGAAAATAATTGGTGCACATTGGACGAAAAATCTTGTGTGAATATTCATCCACTAGCAAGGTGGTATGGATTGAGGCAATTCGTTGTCATTTCTACGGTTGGCGGAGCAACTATCAGCGAAAATCAACGTCGCATCTTACTTTCATCCATACATTTGGCCATTGGAGAAACAAACATTACAGTTCCAGTTTTTGTCCAAGCATTGAAATCACAACAGAATGTTTATTCAGGTAATTTATTATAATTTAAATAACGATTTTTTACCATTTATATATATATATTTGACAGGTGTTTGCGAACATGAAAATACCAGAGTGCATTTCGACATTATTCATTTATCGCAAACTCATCCAACATGCAAATATTTGTCAGGCATTCTTGACATGTTTAAAGAGAAGATACCATACGAATACAAGGAGCCAGCAACAGTTTCAGTGCGATTTACTTACATTTTGAAACAATTTCCCGAATCTTCGTTTGTACTAAAACGAAAGTTTCCATTTTCCGATCGTAACAACGATATTGAAATTAAATCAAATGCCATCTTACCGTTTGGCGTATCTGTTGATCCGGTTCGCGAATTTGTGCTCTATTGTAAATGGCTCGAATTGGCCGAAAATGTTGTGATGGACTCTCGAAATTACAGCGATTTTGATCCAATGTTATCACAAACATGGTCATTTCGCTTACATTATGAAGCCTTACCAAACACATTTTTGCGCGAATGTTTATTTGAATTTTTGTCGGAATGCGATTCGACAAAGACATTACATGAGTTAATTGGTGCTGAGTACGCATATTCAGCCACAAGTGAAATAGCCAGTCGTGATGATTTAAATCCATTGGAACGCTTAACTGTGTCAAAAATCTCCAAACTAACAACATCCATGCTTTCGGCAGCACTTTCCAGCGATGGATCAAGTGCACAAGCAAAAAATAAAACATCGAAAAAAGGCAAACCGCTTGAAGGCCCGTTAACGGAGGACCAACTCATGGCCATGCTTTACTTTTTATTTCCCGATGCACAACCAAACTCATCCAATGCGTACAAAGTTCCATCCACGGATAATGTAAGTAAAGAACATTCAATCTTATCTAGAGTTGATCAGAAGAAAAGAATGGAAATTAATTAATAATTTAAAATAAATAATAATTAATTAATCAATGCGTAATGGAACGGAATGGAAAATGAAATTTAAAAAAAGTATAATTAATGACCACAACAACAATATTGCTTAAATTTGGGATTTCATTGTAAAAATTAATATGCTTACTATTTCTAGTAATTGTTAGCATCGTCCACTACTACGTCTTGGTATCATTGTTTCAAACAATGAGATTCCCATTATGAGAATGTTCGCGTAGACGTCCGTGCTTATATTTTTAATTTTTGATTTTAATTTTTGTAATAATAATGGAGTTGATGCCTGAATGGACGAAAATAATTTGGCATCGGCAGATGATTCAACATGTACAATTCCTTTTTAATCATATTTGTCAGCAATGTGTTTCTTTCCAATGTGTGTGCGCTTGTGCTTTTTCAATCTTACTTTCTTCTTAGACCAAGAGCCACTCCAATAAGTAACTTTTACTTTTCCGCACACACCTAGTGTGTAAGGTAAAGTATTGGAATCGGTCGAAAAATTAACACCCATCGAAAATGTGTTTTCTGGGTGTTTTTGGGGCCAAGGAACACGAATCTAGCGTTTTTTCGATGTCCGAATGTATGTGCGTACCCTGTACGCTGTACCCAAAAATTTGTTAACACGATAACTTTCAAACAAGAAAAGTAATTCAAAATCTGACTTCACAGGATGATTGGGAGTGCCGAGGAATAGAAACCATTAGATTTTGAGCGACTTTGGTTGATAGAGTGACGTTTCATGTCTGGTGTTATGTCCATGGCCATCCATGGGAAAAATTCAATTTTTCTTCCAAAAGTGATATTTAATGTATTTTTAAACACTCAAAAATATGTTTAGGGGGATTTTTGGGAACGAGAAAACCGAATTTGACGTTAGTTTTGCGATACAAATAATTTTCGACACACTTTTCATACAAAAATTTCATACAAACATGTAATTTTGTTTATGCAGAAAACAATAAATATGTGTATTTAAGTGCAGATTTTTTAAAATTTAGTGTTATTTTATGATAAAAAATCGATGTTTAAAATTTCAGACATAAAGCTGACAAAAAATCTGATAGTTTTTTTCGAGTATCACTTATAGTCGGCTTTCAACGCGACTCGATTTAAGAAGCGCCATCTCTATCACGCCAGGTTCTCATATATTTTTTTCTTGCAAATAAAATTACAAAATTGTATAAATTGAATAAGTTTTGCAATAATAATAACGAAAATAATTAATAGAATTTATAATAAATAAAAAAAATTGAAAAAACACACAAATATTTTATATTATATGATTCACCAGAATAGCTTCACTTCGTGTTGTTTACGTTGTTTCTTTTGACAAGAAGAATCTTTGAGCAAAAACAAAATATTTTCCAGAAAATCAAACATGCAGCTCGCTTTATTAATTGATATGTTTTCTATCCGCGAATAATAGTGCAGATTTCGCGAAGTGGGTGGCTGAAGTAATAAACGTCAAATTATTTGTTTAGTGTATGTCTAGCTGCATGGTTCAATATAGTTTTCTGACATAAAGCAAAAAAAAAGTTACTTGTTAGAGTGGCTCTTGGTCTATCTTATATCATTTTAAATTGAATTATTTTCACTTTGTTTTGCACAGTTTGATCCATTGCGTATAAAGTCAGCGTTTGATGATTCCCTAGTACATCGTCTCAGTATGTTATTGGCACTTTGCGGAACTTACCTCGGTGGATTACGTGCCATCGCTCAACTTTGGATTGAATTCGCACAAGAAATGAGATATCGAGTGGAAAGAAGCATTTTTATTTCTGGGTAAGTGGCATTCTTCCAATTTTATTTTTGAGGAATCCTTTTTTAGGAGAAATGAAATTATTTTAATTCATAAACAAACAACAACCACAACAACATTGCTCATATAAAGTAAAAATATGTGTTTATTTGGATTTCTCTAATGTGGTTCTTCAACAAAACAGAATAGATAAATTGGTGTTGTTTTTTTCATCTCCTTAAATACTATGTATATGTAAGTGTGAGCAGCCGCTTACTTCGTCGGCTGAAATTTTATACAATTCATAAATGAATGTCCGAGAATGAATGTGAGTCTTCTCGTGAGAGTTTATTGAAATGTAACACCGCCATAAAAAAAATGCTGACTGTCAGCAATTGTATGGCGGTGTTACATTTCAATAAACTCTCACGAAAAGACTCACATTCATTCTCGGACAATCAAATGTGTTACATTGCACCTAACAATTGAATATAATATGCGTTTATGTATTTTGTAAATCGGTGTATCTCTCTCTAACATGCGTGCAAACATTTATTTGTTTTCTAGAATGTACGCGAGCTCAAAATCAATAATCATTCCATGTAAAAATTCATTCGAACTTCCATTCGTTTCACATTTCCTCTCGACCAATAAAAACCGTTTCATTTTAAATTACAAATATTTCTTTTCCACACACACACACACTTGTACATCAATCGTTTGAAACCATTTTCATTTTATTCGCACCGAAAAATTATTCTATTCTCATGCAAGAAACTGCACATTTGGCATTTCTTTGATGGAATCCCTTAAAAATGAACATGTAATATTAATTTTGATTTACGAGGGCACTACAATAATTGATTTTAAATATCTAACACAATGGAAAAAAATCGCTACATTTACAATACTCATTTAAGGCATTTTATTTTCAATTTGTGTATCGCAATATGCTAGTGTGTTTGATCTACAAAAAGTGTTCTCTCTAAAGGAAGCAAAATTGTGTTTTTTTTTTGGTCGTGCTGCTAATTTGAATTGCAGTGAACGTGTGTGTGTGTGCTGATTTTCAAAACTTATTTTCTTGCGCTAAAATTTTGTTTTCTTCAAATGTTTCGAAGTGGAAATTATTTCGATCGCATTCTGTTGATACAAATGTTATTCGTGATTTTTCCCCATACAATCACCGGAAAAAAAAAAATCCCAGATGACTGCTCACCAACGTTATTGATCCCATTTTGTTTTGTATTAGAAATCGTATCTGTTATCGTGTTATCTATTGATTAAGTGAAATTTCTGTTTAAATTTGATAGGCCTACGATCTACTTGTTCGAATTGTGAATGATGTTTACACTCTTTTTAAACCTACAACTATTTTTGATCTTAATTTTATTTTTAGATAAGTATTTATAGCTATAAAATATGTCTAAGAATTTTAGTTTTTCGTTAACTGTGAACTGTGTTTTCTGGGCGTCTGTAATTGTTACGGATTTTCATTGGATTTGATCTGGCTCGATCATTCTTCTCTAAAATTTGCATATTTTATTTTCGTATTTGAAAAAGAAATCGAATAAATGGATTGTGAATTAATTTTGACAATATTCCTTGAAACCACTGATCTATTACGTAAAGTAAAAATGATAGAAACAAAATGTTCAAGCACAATCGCCGAAAATCCGAACACAGAAATTTACCCATTTTTTTAAAAATCGCTCGAAATAATAAGGAAAATATTTTCTAACAAGACAAAAATTTCACTTAAAAGTACTTTTACTTAACATTTGATCGTTAGATCAATTCATTCAACTATATTCGCTAATTTAGTAGTTTCATTATATAGACTTTATATATGATTAACGTACGCGCAATTGAATTCGTTCAATTTGATTTAGCTTTATTATGTACAATGATGAAGTCTATATGATTCTAAATCTCGTTAATTTCAATGTTAAATTCCTTATCAATTCGTTTGACATAAGATTCATCCATGTTATTTTTAGTTTCATACCTATCAACGTGGCAAATTTCTTTAATCGCACATAGGTTCAAATCAAATTGCCAATCTGACTAAGAATATTTGAAACACATTTGATTATTATTTTTCTTGTTCTTTTTTACAATTCTAATTAAACTATATTTAGGTGATTTTGTTATGGCCTATGACAAAAGACAATGTTGCATTTTGAAATTATAATGTAAAAAAAATTGTTGCAAAGAAAAACTATTTCCGAATTTCATCATGAAATTATCTGAATTATACGATCATCGGTATAATTGAATATTTTGATGAAAAAAAAAATCCGTTTGAAAAAACCTTCCCGTCGCTGACTGCTTAGCATTCATGTTTTTATTTGATGCATATTCAAAACAACATACACTATTTACATAAATCGGCCAAATATTTCCATTTTGGTATACATACGAACCACTTTTACAATTATCTTTCTCGTTTTATAACATGTCTAGTTATAAATCTCTCTCTGTGTGTGTGTGTGTGCTGTGTATTTAGCTCGATTGTAGCAGTCTTTTGTCGTGAACGAAAAGAGAAGTACATCCGTAAATTCAATATTTTCAATTAATACAACGTATAACATGTTTGGCACTGTGAATGTATGTGATTTTCCACAAAACATTTTCTCCTTCGAAAGAAAAACTATTCAATTTCCCTTTCTAAATTTCTTTGCAATACAGATTGGTGTTATGCCTTCTTACATTTTGGTCACGCTAGTATAAACTATCATTCATTCAAATTTTGTTTGCAAACTCCATATGTGATATATTGAATCGGTGTTGTTTTTTTTGTTTTTTAAGAAAAAAAAACGCAGAAAAAACTACAATAATGAATCGATGATTGAACCATGCCGTTAATGATGTTCAATATAAAATATATAAGTCGCTTGCATATAATTCGAATGATATATGAAGGTTTGAGTGAATTTTAATTATTTAAATTGTTAACTGTGTCTGTGTCTATAATGTGTAAAATTGAACAATGTCCACATTGATCTAAGTGCATATAACCGTTTTTTTCTGTTTAACTATAACTTTGGGACACTTTTTGCTCAATATACTTTCTCTATATACAATTTTGACTTATTAATTCATCATTCTATTTTTTGTTTTGGTGGAAAAAGTACATAGAATTGTTCTAAATTAATTAATACTAAAATCTAAAAAGGGATTTTACGCGTAGTAATTTTATACTTTTTTTTCTCTCTATTTTCATTACCGCTTTTAAATCGATTAGAATATTCGTTTGTTTCTTTAAATGTATGTTTCGTTTATTGCATCGTTTATTTGATTTGGACGACGACCCCGATACACTTCGATTGTATTGATGGTGTGTGGATCGTAGTTGGTTTTGGTTTTAGTTGTGCGCACATATTGAAAACAGCATTCGGTTTCACAGTAACTGGTTTCAATAATGTGCATCACATGAATTCCGGCTGGAATTCGATTAAGTAAATACAAAGCTAATTCATTGTGCTCGCCATTCGGACCAATGTCGTGTGTAGTGATTGATGTTGTCGGTGGTGCTAGTGTAATGGCAGTACTTGCTCCTGCTGTTGTTGCTATTGAACTATTTGGTTGAATAAATGATAATTGTTCTATTGATTTGAATGATTGTGTTATGTGGTCCGTATGGAAATCGGTCGGCTGTCAGAAAATTTCAGGTAAATTGTAAATTTTTAACAAAGTATTCGTATATCATCTGCATCGGAAAAGTTGATCTCATAATGGCACCAAACCGTTACGTGTTGTGGCATTGCGTGTCATATAAATCTCCATATCATGATCTGTCCAATTGTCGGATGTGTCGCAATAATTATTCAATGTATGAGTTGAACCAGCCGTCGAGTACCTGTAAATTTATAAATGTACATGAAATGAAATGCAAACACAAACAAATATATTTTCAATATTCAATGAGAATGAATGCGATTAAGTGAAAACAAAATAAAATGAGACATAGTTTGAGTAAAAAAATAATTTACGAACCGACTACTCGGGCGATGATGTGAATGAATATGAGCTCCATTCATTTGATCGCGTGATCGAGATCTCGGTCTTGTTCTACGACTTGAAACTACACTATGTGCAGCACCATGGATTCCAGATCCAGCGTATGAAGCACGTGACATACGATCAGAGGCAGCTGCCAACGATTGTCTCGATTGACGTAATTCTATGTTTTAAAAGTACACAATACAGTACATTTGCTCTATCTAACAAATAAACACTACAATCTATCTCTAAAATTGACTTACCTGGCCGTGAATTCACCAAATTACTTGGGAATGCCGAATTCAAGTATCCACGATGTGAATGATTTGAGAAACTATGCTGCGATTGTCCATCAGCAATTGATCTATATTTTAATGGGGATATTTTTGTTTACAGTTTTTTCAATTAAATTACATTCGACAAGGTATAACAAGTAATGCAAAAAAAAGAAACAACAAAATTAAGCTTCGAGAAAATAAAGTCATGAAAATGCCATTTCGACCTTTTTGACATTTCATAGAATGGTAAAAAAAAATGAGATAAAAAAAGAATACGAAATGAATGCGCTTACCTTGCTTTGGCAACCTTTCCGACCACACCAGAGAAATGTGATACATGACTTCGCATGTCATCGCCGATTATGCTTTGATTTTCCATTGGATAAATTCTCGGTCTCGGTATAGATCTGCCGCTGTATGCACTAACTTGATCCCAATCCTATTGGGGAAAGAAAACAGTAATTACATTTTAGCAAATAGAATTTAAAATTTTGAACATTTTCTACTTAAATTACACACGATGACAAAATCTAATTTGAAATCTTATGCACACATACACATAATAACACAAAATATGCGGTTAAATGTTTTCTCTGTCTCTTGCAATTTTATTCCCTCTTTCTACTAGTGTATCACCCTGTGTTCATAACTCTATTATCTGTGATCCGTAACACATTATGTCATAAACAATAATGTATGAGGTTTGTGTCGTCTATTCTCTTTCTTTTTCTTGTCAATGGATGATATTTGTCTCCGTGCTTTTCGTCGAGTGCACTCACATTTACCTAATTACATAGAATACTCAACTTGGTAAAAGTGCAGAAAATCGAGAGAGAAGCATCTGAAAAATAATTAGAGTGTAAACCCAATTCAAGCGCTAAGAATTCCATATATTTTTTGTGTACTGTACATTCCGAACAATGTATATTATGCACCACAATTTTTAAAGCGGTATATAACGTAAGCGTTCTTCTTTTTACATTTCGTTGCAAAATGGAATTGATTTCAGCATGCATTTGGCACTTGAGTACATGTTTCAATTCCATGCTTTTTGTTTGTGACAAACTAGAAATTCGATTCATTTGTGGTGGTAATTGTTTTTCGTTTTCGATTCATTTGGCATCAAGCTATTATCGGAACTGTCATAACATAGTTCAAGCTATAATAATTAGAGCGCTGGTCTTTTTTTGGGAACGAAGAAAATAAACACTTAATTCATTTTTCATAGACTGAAGTTTTCTCGGTCGATATAAACATAAAAAAAAACTTTATTCGATTTTTTTATCTTTTTAAAAAAGAAGAAAAACAACAAAGTAAACTATGGATAATAGCACAACTAATTGCAACTTAATCATCTTTCTTAACTGCTATTCTGTTCACTATGAATGAACATAAATGAATCCAGCAAACTGGTTCATCTTTCTCTGCCTCTCTCTCTCTCTCTCTCTTTCTCTGTATCTCAACTAAATACAAAATACAATTTATTTTGTGCCAAATGCTCGCAAGTGTGTGCGATTGGGATTATTGAAGCTTAACATTTTTGGTATGCATTTTAAAACACGATGCGTGCATGTATAAATTACTATCAAAAGCTAAAGGCTTTTTGCTAAAATAATTAACTTGTAATTTAATTAAAAACATTTAAAATTCACAAAATTCTCTTGATTTTATTATTGAAATGTCCTGAGGTGTTGATGTGCGTGTGTGTGGGCTCTTCATCGACAAAGTTAAATTTAAAATCAAAGCTAGTAAAAGTGACGAGACTAGATATTTCTACATCTACTTTGTAGGATAAGAAACGTTTCAACTGACTACATGTAGTAAATGTATTACAATTGTGTACTTTTCACTTTACGATAACGACCAATTCGATTGGTGAATGAATCACTTTTGATTACCTTATGATGATTGAAAGCGGATAATGTTGCAATTGAGCCAAGTGGTCCGGGACTCCCATTCGGTCCACAGCAATTCACTGGCAACCCGGCTATTGGCAATGGACTCTTTTGCTGATTCAAGTGTTGCATTTTTCTCGATCGTCTTCTGTAAATTTAGAAAGAAGAAACGATTTTGAGCAAAAGATAAAAAACAAAGCAAGTAAAATTGATGGAAACTACGTGGTTTGTTTGGTGTGTAAACTTACCTTCCTGCCGCAATGAAAATAATAACAGCCACAATGATTGTACCACATATTGCTGCGCTTGCTGCAATCGTGATTTTATCCATGTTTGATGTTGGCGATGACAATGTTCGCACTTCACGGCATTGCGAATATGGTACGCTATCCGGTGTCACGTTCAATTCTTCCAATGAAATTACACAAACCACAATGCACTCTTGTGGTGGAACATTTTTAATTTTGAATTCACGTTCACTGGCTTCCAATGGTGGTCCTTGTTTGAAACTTTTATCAGCGAAAAGACGATAAACCACTCGAAAACCAAGGATATTTGTTGTATCCGAGTCCCATTGTATGATAACCGAATTGTCTTGACGGAATGCATTCTTTACTTGAACTTCTTTATCTTCCTCGGCACGGCTAGTTCCGCGACCCGATGGAAAACCAAGCACCAACGGTGGTCTTTGCTTAGCCGATGAATTTTGTCGCCAATTATTATTGTTATTATTTTTGAGTGCCGGTTTCAACTAAATAAATTCAAACAAAACAATTAAAATCACTGTAAATATGCGTATACATTTTAAGTCAAAGTCAACAATTTTCTTCACACAAAAAATCGAAAAACAAAACATTAATTTTTGGTTTACATAGACAGGAAAAGAGACGAGGAGTTGTTTATGTTTACCGTCGTTTGCGTAGAGCTGGTCGATGTGCTTGTGACAACTTTTACAGTTGAAGACGGGGTTGTTGTTACGGTGCTTGAACTAATTGTGGTACTTTCTTTTGTTGTTTCTTTGCTGGATGTTGAACTGCTGCCACTGGTGCTGCTACTGCCGGCATTCGAAGTAGATGTTTGTGTAGTTGTTAGCGTCGATGATGGAGTTTGTGTTGTTGAGCTTGTCTTTGGTTTAAGCGAATCAATCAGTCCGATTGGACCCGATAAGTCAACATCGTTGTCAGGACAAGACAATTCCTCCGGTTGAATTGAGTAAAAGCCACGATCACGGAATCGATTCGGTGAGCCACAAAATTGTGGATTTCGTTCGCGTGATGTTACTTGCAAGTCACCGTTACGAATCCATTCTGCAACCCATCTCCTAAAGAGTCGATTTTTTTTTATATTGAACGATAAATATCGATCCAAATTGCTAAATGGAAGTAATTTTGATAAGTAGTTTGTTTTGTCAACTTACAGTTTACAGTCACAATGGAGAAAACGACCACCTAACGATAAGCCTCTCAATGTACGATTCAAATGTGCCAATGCTTTTTCTGGTACTGTTGGCAATGGATTTCCATCAAGTGCAAGCAACGTAATGCTTGGATTGCCACGAAAAGCAGTCTCCGGTAAAGTGGTTAACAAATTAAAACCAATATCTAAAACGCGAAGCTCTTTCAGCGAATGAATTGCACCGACGGGAAATTCGGCCATTAAATTGTTCAATAAACTCAACGAACTCAATGTTTTTCGTACCCCAACGAACGATGTTTCGCTAAGTGTTTGAATTAAATTTCGTTCTAAATTCAATGCGGTCAATGAGTCCAAGCCTTCAAAGGTGCGCAAACCACCTGGACCGGGCAATTCACGTACACCATTTTGTGATAGATCCAAAAATGCCAACGTTTTCAAGCCACGAACACATTCAGGTACACGTTTCTGTTTCGTTCCTTTCAAATTTAAATTCTTTAAACTTTGCTCAAGACCGCGAAATGCACCGGATGCTAGCGTAACATTATTATCGTTGAGTTTCAATGTTGACAATTTCGATAGACCCAAAAATGTGTTATCACCGATGTGTGTAATTCGATTTTTCGATAAATCCAACAAATTTAAAATCGACAAAATGCGAAGCGCACGCTGTGGCACGGTCTCCAATAAATTGTCTTGAATGTTTAAATTTTTTAGATGTTTTTCTTGTCCCTTGAAAGCACCATCTTCGATCGCTTTTATTTGACAATTGCTCAATTGTACATTGTGTAGATTTAAATTAAGGAACACATTATTTTCTAATTTTTCAATCGTTGAATTGTTGATGTACAGTAAATCGATTGGTGTCGAACGTGCAAACCGATTAAGCGCTTCCAGTAATAGTGGAAAATCAACCTAAATTCAATTTTCAAACGAAAAAAATGTGCCAAGGCAAGGAAAAAAGAAAAATAAATACAAAAATGCTCAGTAAATGAAGTCAGTTCAGTAATTCGTTTGTGTGCACGATGATTCATCGATGAATAATTGGTGCGCACACTGTATATATAACTCGTACCTGATCACATTGTACAGATAGCTCATGACCCAAATTGTATGCACATAAGCAGGCCGTTTGCAAATCAGGAACGTCTTTGTGCCACGGACACTGGGCCAGCGATGAACTTATTACAGCTAAAACTAAACATAACAAACGTAGCGCTCGCATTATGAATATCTGTAAATAGATAAGAGAAAACATCAAAAAAAAAATAGAATAAAAATGGGATTAGAATATGTGGAAGAAAATGAAGCGGTGATAAATACTGAAATTTGTTCGAAACAAGTTTCCAGTAGTTTGAAATGTGGTAATTAACCGTTACGTTGATGGACGTAAGCAGCCACATTGCTATCGATAGCGTATGATTAAGAGCGCACAGTTTATTTTTGTTGGTAATGTTGCAAGTGGAAATGACTCAAACATAAAAGATTATTGTCATTGCATACGATGCTTTCGGAAACCAATATTTCTACGAATAAAGCCAATGTACGACTGAATTGAATGCGAATGATTTCTATCCATTTACGCTACGATTTTTTAACAGTTACTCTACAAAGAAAGGAGATAGAAGCAACGCAACAGCAAAAACAGCACTGACAACGACAACGCAAGAAGCAAATAAAAAAACATTCCAAATCGAATAATCAATTTTCAATGCGAATGAAATTGCCTGCTTTGGCAAATATATTCAGTCTCGTCGATGTGCTAAGCCAAATGGTTGCTGATCTGCAGATGAATTCGCACTTACTTTTTCCTGTGCACTCATTTGGGTTTCGGTCGATGTTGAGAGTATGTTTTTATCATCGTTTAGTACTCTATTGCTACGCTGCAGTGAGCCGAGATACTGTGTGTTTGCCTCTTTCTTTTGCTTCCAAATCAACTGTTCATGAATATATATACATATATTTTTAGAAAATAAACATAAATAAGCGGCACAAGCGGTAATATAAGAGTTATAATGCACCGGCAGTACAAAATGCACAGTTAGAATTTCGAAACTAGTTTGCCATTACTATACAATAATTCTCGTTCGATTCACGCTTCTTACATCGATTCATTGAACGCACATAAACTATGTATAGTATTGACAAAAAATGTACTATACCTATGTCGATTTATTTGTTGAAAAAAAAACAGCTTCAGTGAGAAAGAAAGAAATAGCATTCAGTCGATTGAAAACCGCAAAATAAAATTACGAAAAGTAAAACATAGTTAAACGAAACAAATGCAATAAACGAACAGGTAATCGCAGCGAAATCAATGCACATTTGCTAATAACAACATTTTTATACGACATATAACGGAAAATCAACCAAATTTTCAACAAACCACTCAGCCAATTTTTTACGCTATGATTACATATTTCGTTACAAATTGCCGATAATTAGTATGAACGCTTTTCATTTAAATGCTTTTTGTGTGCAATTTTGACGTAGACGATAGTCTTTCTATATGGTGATCTCCGTTGACGGAGGTAGATAGAGGGAGAAAGAAGGAAAAAAGCATGTGTAACTTATTTAGCAGTTGACAGAATGAGTTAAAAGGAAATTTAAACGGCATTTTGTCCTTTTCATTCTCGAATTACAGTGAGAGAGAAGAATGTTTAATGAATGAATATAAGTTTTCAGTTAGAAACCGGATATGGCACGCAGCAAACTTAGACATTGATTTTCATGTAGCTGTAACTACACCATTTCAATCTATATAAAGAAGTTGATATAATTTACTTCTTTTTCTTCTTTATTGCCCATTTCATTTTATTTTATCTCGAGCATAAGTTTGTTTGGTGCGATGACGGAATGTTGCAAAATGCACTAATGAAAATGCTATTCTCTTTCTCTCTGTCTGTCTGTCCGTCTCTAGTATTCGTGCAAAAGCAGCTTCCACATTCATTCGTTACAGGTAACTGGTTTAACGTGCCATTGGGCTGAATGCCAGTGAGTCAGTCGACGTTGTGAGGGCTTTATCTCATCATAACATGCAAAACTTTTAAGTGTTTCAAAAACTTTACGTTCACTTGTTTTGTTGTTTCAGCACTGCCTATTGCTATAAGGTAGCTTATATGCTCAATTGATTTAGTCATGAAGAATTTTGATCCCTTCGGCATACCATTATTTTCTCATATACCGGTTTCGACAAACAACAAATCTTAACTCCCTCTCTTTCCCTATCTGTCCCTGTCTGTCTTTCTCAATTTTCCAATATATGAGAAAAGCTGGAAACTTCTAATCTTGATTTTTGGCCAGATTTAAGTAGTGAAAAGATGAGCTTTTAACAGCATCATATACTTTCATGGAAGCTCAAATTTTTATTAAATCTATCACCCGCCTCACCACTTTACACACAAAAAAAACGATATTACTTTTGATTGCTTGTTTAATTGAATTCGCAACACATTGTAAACGAAGCATAGTTATGCATTAATCGATAGAATATTTGTTACTATGCTTTTGGATTAAATGTTAGCTATAAATAATTACATTTACATGCAGACACAAGTATCAAACTATGCCTTAATAAATCACTTATGTCTATTGTTACAATACAGCATACAAATTTCTGCTGCTTCTCTCTACTTGCAATCTCTCTTTCTCAATCATTCACTTCCTCACCAAATTTATCCATCTGTCGAAATATCCAAACGGCTGCTTCGAGATGCGATTCAGTGTATATTGCAGTGTATTGTTGAATAAGTAATAAAATCCATGTAAATTCTTGAGCTTTGTGTATTAAATTTAATAGTTTGAAATGTAGTTAAGTCGATGAGATACTGGATGCCCGAAGCTGTTCTTCAAAAATATACTCTCTCTGCTTTTTTATCTCTTTCTTTCACATTCAATCATAAAATACAGATATCGAATGGATTTTTGCAACAGTTCAGAATACTACCGTGTGTTGTCATTTCGAAAGATTTATGAACTTCATAAAAGTGAAAATGTGATAAGAATATATTGGTTTTGCATTGATTTTAGCAAAAGGCAAACAATATTTTTCCAGCATTTCATCTCGACAATCAAGCAAGAGTTACTTAACGATCGATTTTACTGTTTTTCTTTATTTTTCGAGATTGAAAAAAAACGACCAAGAATGATTTCTTTTTTTATTCGACAACGCACAAAATGTTGAATGAAAAATGATGGCTTATGAAGAGAGAGAAAAAAATTGGTATTATTTTTGCACTTTTATATTATATGTGCAAAAGGATAAAAAAGAGAAAGAACATTTTTTACGCTCGTACCATCATTTAGAATGATTACGTTATCCTTCCTTCTGTCTATTGCTAAAAATTTCATGTAATACGAAACCAATTGAACATTTTTCGGATATAAAAAATCCAAAATTTTATCAAAAATTTCACCTTTCAAAAATTTAACCAAATTTGTATTGCTTTGTGCTCTATATCCTTTGCTGCGTTTTATGACGCATAATCTATCACTGCAGTGTGTTGAAAGGAAGCGGCTTGAAAGATAGTGAAAAGACGGAAGATGAAGACAGAGCAAATGTCGAAAAATGAAGGTGTTAACACACAATTGGGAAAGAAATTGGTGCATGATTAAATGCTAAGCATCAATCAGATGCTTGATTTGTCCGTTCGATGTATGTATCAATGATCAGTAATCTGTAACCCCAGTGTTCGTTCTATCTGCAATACAATACGCAACAATAGATTGGCCCATTCGAATCTGAATTTTGGAAGATAACATGTTTCGCTTGGTTACATCGTTGGTATATGTGGCTAATGTGATTTATCGGAATCGTTTTAATTTAGTCGGGATGAATATATTTCTAGTTGAAATCTAAGCTGTAAGCAGTTAAGTTCGCTTAATAACAACACATGTAAATGGATTTGTAGGTACATTATGAATTTATTAGAGAGAGAGAGTGAGAGTAATGCCGAGAAAATCAACTGATTTTCATGAATCATTTCATTTGTGAAAGACATATATTCATGAAGGTTGCATAACAAATGAAACCCAAATCTTCAACAAAATTCCTAATGCACGGCAAAATGCGCATGGTTTTGAATCGAAGAACTTCAGTGAAATCGAAACAAAAGCATTTTCATCTATTTCAATTGATAAATTGATTTCGATTTCGTATGGTTACTTTACTCCATTAAATCTTTCCACTTTCGACAAAAAATCCCATTCATTGCCTGCATCAATTTTCCATTCCATTCATTTACCATTTCAAGCAACATCTGCCCATTTTGAAACCAATTGTTCGGCATTTCAATAAATTTTACCGTCGATTCACAACGAAAAAATAAGAATCTAATATTAATCATTCGCACTTTTAAGCCGATTCAGTCGTCTTCCTTTCAATCAAATTCGAATTTAAATGATGAGAATCCATTTTACATACAAATCACGCCTTATTCAATTGCATAATTGCGTGTTGTATCTTCATCTTCGAATGGCTTATTCGGCCTATTATAAGCTATCAATGGCTGTGTTTTTCAATTGAATGAACGTTTTTTCTGGTTATAGAGAAATACTTTTTTTTTCAACAATTACTGTACTTGAAGAACTAAGAGAGAGAGAGAGAGAAAGAGAGAGCATGCGCGCGAGAAAAACAATACAAATAACCTTTGCCTTGTCCACATCGCGTTTGACTATCGCTCATTTAAATCAAACTCAAGCGGTGTGACCCGACATCTTCTCCTAACACTTGAAAAGCCAATTTAAGCCCGAACAAATGTCACAGTAGCATCATCGTCAATATAGGGGCACACAATAAAAGAGCACGAAATGGCCCCACGCCACATTTAAAATGGTTCAGAAAAGAACAAAGCCGAATTTGAATGGCGATGAGAACCACTTTAATGTTATTATTCATAATAAATGATGATATGGCAAATTCATTGTATTTTATTTATTTTTTCCATTTTGGTTAAATTGATATTACTTTGCGTGAACCGATATATGTATATTATATGGAAAAGTGTCATTGGTCGCCCTCATTCATTCAATTTTTTGAAGTGACCGAGAGGAATATTTTTGCACGCCATAGTTTCGTATCGCGAATTGATTAATTGTTCAATTTTAATTTGATTATGAATATAATTAAATCCATACACAAATTAATTGATTATGCTTTCATGAATACATATTTACCCAAAAATATGAGGGCTTTAAAAATGAAACGGTCGTCTGTTTTTTTTAACAGACAAACAA